ACATTGTTAACTATTGGACCGAATGGCTGGTTGTTCTGTCGCTGGTGGCGCTTCATATATTCCCAACTGTATGCTTGTAAGCTCAGACAACCAATATTATTAATACTTTATTGGTGTCTGAGAGTAAAGTAAGCGCAGCGTGGTCGAGAAACGCTGTTGTTTTGTTGTTGTTGTTGATGTTGTTGTTTTCGATGCTGGTCATGTTCTTTTTTATTTTCAGTAACTATCTTGGTCCGGCGGTCCCCTATTATTTTCTGGCAATAAATCCCAAAGTCTGGTTAATGTTACTGACCCAGGGGGAGTGGCGGGTTATATCGATAAAAAAGTGATTGGTGAGGTAAGGTAAGGTCATATTACATTTGAAATGTTACACGTCATGATCTCAATTGAACTGCTCATGCACGTTGTTTATATACTTGTTCATAGTTTCGTCTAGTGTGTCCATTTCAAGTTACCACAGGAAGTGTACAAAACCACTTTCAACTATGACCCGGAAAGAATTATTGGGTCATGTACGTCAATTTCGATACGTTTCCTTGGCTCGCATGTAAGTATATCTTTCCAGCGTACTATATAAACACGTGTTGGGGTATTGTGCTTTTACAATCGGCTGGCAATCAGTAAGAGTCGTGGCAGTACCACATTGTGAAATCATTTCGGATCATAATCGTCCAAACTCCAATAACACAACACAAACTGCTGACAAGATACATGGGGATACGTAGTCAAACCAGTGAGAAAAAGATAATATGAACCCCAAGGTATGTTTCGTAAAAAATGAGCTGATCCTGTGCGCGTCGTTTATCAATCTGACTTGAACTCAAATTAGTTTCTATTCCTGTCAGTTGATATTATAATGTATCATTATTTGTATCACACACTAATTATTTATAGTGACTATCTAAACGCATCGACAATCAACGCGACAAATTCTTTTCCAGTGGGAGTTGTGGGACACACATATCACATGGGCTAGGAACTGCCCATGTCTACGTTGAAACAGGTTAACTTTCCAGTAATCTTATATTTCAATGTTCATAGTGAACTTCTAGCTCTTCGTGTGACTTCAAGTTTGCCTGTCGTCAGAAAACGCGTTTAGGCGTCGATGCGATGGTGTGGTGGAGTTGTGATGCTATCAGGGGGAAATTCTCCTCTATGGGGTTCTCCACAATTGCCAGGGGGAAATCTCGTCTCTGTCTCTATATCTCGTCCCCTTGAGGTACGGGATCAGGAAAGTCACTTAAGCTTTACAGTCAAATAAGACACACACAACGAAATACGTTTCAACTCTCGTCTTAGTCGGTCTTTTGAGCACTCTATAAGACACAGCGTCCTGGGGAAAAGTCCCCAAGACTATCGCAAGGCTGACCCAAGACTCGCCCAAAACTCTTCAGGACCGGACTCTCGACTGCGTCTATCGTACTTGCGAAGACAAACTCAAAACTCTCTTTATTCATTTTCAAAACTCTAACCAATTACAAAACAGTAATAAAAACTCTAGGGCGTAACCTTCAATCATAAAGCCAATCACACTAAGTACTGAATACGTCATATCTTTTGATTAATCGTTCACTACATTAATAACTACGGATACCAACTGTCAGAAATCGTAGTCAGAATAGCGACGGTTATCTCGTAATTATTTCCAAATCACTGAGCCAAGTTCCGTCCAAAACTTCAAATTGGCCTAAACGATGACAGACATAACACAGCAATTCGCTAATAATCAGCTAATTAAGTCGGTCAACAGATACGTGAAAACAAATTCATGACAATGCACCCTCAACGTTGTGAGTGCTGCTATTACAAGAACGAAATGTGAACGTATTTGGACAGCCACACAACGTTTTACAGAAAAACAGAAAGACAACTATAAACTAATGTGAACCTCAGAACATTTTTTTGTACTCTGAATTTTAAATGCAAGCAAGCGAGTGGGTGGGCGATATTTTCGGGATTGCGCAGTCAAAAATAAAGCGGAATTATACGGCCGAATTAAACAAAAAAAAAAACGATCGAAAAGCAGAGGCGAGCGGGGTGTTGAACGAAATGAATACTGTTATCACACTCACCACTACTCATGTTAACCACTGTTTTGCCCCCTCCCGTATACGTGCTTTAAAACTAGCGTCACAGTTGGATGATTCATTAGTGACGTCATTAACGTCATTAACATCTGTCGTCTCATACACAGTTCGTTTTATACCCGATATATAGAGCATTACGCAGCACATACAAGTTGATTTTATCGCCAGAATTCATTCATTGATCACAAATTCCAAGCACAGAGCAGAAAACGTCAGACCTCTGCTTCCCTGAACACAAACTATATTATCCACTAAAATATTGCAGCACAAACAGGACTGTCAATCAATGAGAAAAAACACAGCTATTGAAAATTAACATTACAAACGAAAAACCCACTCAAAATTCAGGGTTAGGCCATCAATGAAGTTTATGATTTCACTTACCTGGGCAGTAATGTAAGCAAAAAGGACAGCACAAGTAAAGACATCAAATCAAGAATAGCCAAAGCCAGGAATGCTTTCATAAAACTAAATCCAAATTGGAAATCCAACCAATACAGTCTGAAGCTCTACAATAGCAATGTAAAATCTGTCCTGCTCTATGCATCCGAATGTTGGCGTGTAACAAAATCCGACATGACCAAGTTATCATCTTTTCACAATGGTTGCCTAAGGAGAATTTGCAAAATATTCTGGCCATTGATCATATGCAATGATGACCTTCATAGACAAACACATTTCAAGGACATTATTATTGAAATTAAGAGCCGAAGACTGAGATGGTTGGGTCATGTTCTCAGAATGCCACAAGACTCAATCCCCAAAACAGCACTTCGCTAGACACCACAGGGTCAACCAAACAGAAAGGAGGCCAAAAACCTCATGGAGAAGAACCATTACCACAGAACTTGCCCAAGCAAACCTGACCTGGAATAGAGCAGATATGGTGACCAAGGATAGACAGGAATGGCAGAACCTGATTGCAGCCTTATGTCCCGGTGTGGAATGAAAAGGACCCAAACAAATATTGAAGGTATCACAAAAAGTGGCATAGGTCAACCGCAGATACATGCATAGCAAGTATCACAGAGATTGTTTGTTTTTAAAAGGACGTCGACGTCGATAATATTACTACATACTCAAAATATTCCGCCCGCCCAGGGTACGTACATATCAAATATGAGGGTAATTGGGCAGTCATTTTCGATAATATTACATGTATTTTTTTTTTTCGCCAAAAAAAAATTTCCAATGTACCTACATACCACGAAGAATTAAAAAATGTACAGCGAGCGACGACAATTGGGATAAATATATTGCGAGGGAAATCATTAGAGAAGGAAATGGTATGTAGATGTATACATTTGTGTAGCCTTTATATTATAATTCAGGTATGTTACTTTAACATAGAATCATGTAACAGTTTCTGTTCGTCTGACAGCAATAAGGCGAAGCGGTGTTTGCATTTATTTCGCATTGTCGTGATATAAATCGGTTATCTCACCCCAGAGAGAGCAGTTGGACACTGCATTTGACCACAAGTGTGGCTGTTACACTTGAAACAGCACGGGTAATAAGAAATGCGATTCACTATACATATCGAGCACACGTGACAGAATTTTAACAACGGCAACAGAAACAAAGCTATAACTTGCCTTTCGTTAACACTATGTGCAAGACAAAAATGGCTAACACTTTTGTACATCTCGGAATATTCGCTGTCTGAATGCTCTGTAAAAACTGAAAGTGTACTTTGCAAACTCCAAACGTTCATAAAAGTTGACTAACAAAGCTGGCCAGTGAATTGAGTTACCAAAAACATGTTTGAGGGCGCTTTTCACAACTATACGATTGTGCTTACAAGATACGTGATTCACACTTACGAACGGACTGTAACGCATATTCATTCAACAACAATAAAGAATGCATACACTTACACTATAAACACATCATTTGGTTTGAGTTGTCGGCGAACCAATCACAGTTACTAGTATCACACTCGTGAAGACCATACATTGCAGCGCTGAAAATCACCTAGGCACAAAAACTTCTTTAAACGCGATGTTCTTCCGACAATGGGTAGAAAGAGGGTTGAAGAACAAAAGTCGCATGAGTGAGCCGATAGAGGGCGATGTGACATAGAGATTTGGCGCCCGAACAATTCGATAGCCTTCTGTAAAATACTTTATTTTAGCATTTTGGGTGTTTCGCATGGAGTTTATTTTCACTGATTTTCGACGAGTGTAAAATATAGGCAAAAAAAACCCGTATATTCATTGGTCTTTATTTGCTTTTGCGGCACCAGAAGAGATGCGATTCACTATATAATACTTAAGGCGTTAAAACTTCGCTCATGGGCGATCCAAGGGTACTTGTTAACCAGTGAGGTGCTTGTTTCGTTGTTCCCTCTGAAACGAAGTGTTTGAAGGGTTACTTAATCCATAAGATGTTTGGAGGTTTGGTAATTGATATGGACGGGTGATCTGGGAAACTTTTAGATGAGACATTACTAACAACAAATTCCCAGCTATATTTTGGAATCTTATATCAATCCACATACAAATATCTGACATTGAAATCATATATAGTATCTTTTTTTTTATTTAAAGACTGCAAGTAACAAAACATTATGAGACATTGAACGGCAATTATAATTTCTGTAATTTGTTCTGAGCTAAGAACTTAACCGTATGACTGACGTATGCTTCTGCAGATGTATTACTTGCTTCGTATAAATAAAAATAATATATACATACAAAACTACTAATGTAACATTACATAAGACACATATTTTATGAAACGACGCACAAACATAACACTTTCATACATTTAAATACATATACACCGCACCACACATAGATACATTCTTCACCACTCAACCCGTGTTTCGACAACAACAAAAATCAGTTATTTCTCGGATGGCCCAGTACTTTTGGCGATACTGTGCAATTTCAAAGACTTGTGGTATCAAAGAAGTTAGCTAAATCAATTCGATTATTGTATTCTATAGTATAGTCGGCTTCATGTTTTCCACGTCTGATGTATAATTCAGATCAACTAAGGATAGCCACATCACTCTTTTACCATCTTTCTCTTCGAATGTTGAAGTAACATCAGATTTGCTGTGAAGGTGAGGTAAAATGATATAAATTGCGAGAAAGATCATATATTTGAAATATGATTAGTACTAATAATTCCGATCAACTATTCGATTCATTTGTACATATGCAATAATTCCATGTCAGCGACGTGAATCGACGTATAATATCGCAACATTTATGAATGCACGTAATACCCACCTTCCTGACGAGTATTCTATGTCCTCAATGGTGTTTGGCAGTGGTTGACCCTTTGTCTCTGGGAGGAGGAGAATCATCGCACCAGCCGCAAATGATACACATCCATATATGATAAACGGAAGAGGCTTCCAAGTTGATGATAGAAGTTGAACAAACGGTGCCAGGATGGAGCCCAGTCGTCCAAAGCAGCTAGCAGCGCCGAGACCGGTTGTCCTAAAATAATATCAAAAAAAAATGAAATCATGATACTTCATCCAGCAAACCACTGTGGGCATTTAGTGAATAAAATGAAATAAAAAGATAGAAAATATACCAATATGACGATTCTATTTATAGAAAAGCGTGATCAAACCTGAGAACAGTAGGCAGTAGCTCGGAGGTATGCATATATGCAGTCCAGAAGGCAGCTGAAGCACCTAGTTTACCAATCATAGCCACACCAATCGACAAGTAATTTAGATCTGTAAGGAGTCATGGCAGGCAATACATTTCACGATTATAGGGTATTCAGAAGATGCTAGATACACCAATCACCAGTTTGATGCTGAGTTGAAATGTGACAAAATTAATTTTTTGGCAAATATTGGTCAAGAATTTAATGTTCGTAACCAAACACAAATCATATATCCAACTACAAGGTTAGGATGAATTATTATAATACCGGATACAAAATAGTAACAACAGCCCAACGGTTATTTGCTATATGCGTTTAGTTTTTCAGCGGCGAAATATAAACCTACCCTCTGGAAAAAGTTGGCAACCGATACACCCTACTCCTGCAATGGCAAAGAACGCACTCAGCGGTATGGTGCGTCCAAATCTATCGACCAAGTAAATAGCGAGAAAACAAGCTGGCACTTCCATAACTCCAGCCAGAAAGAACAAAAGGTACTCATCTCCTGGTAGAGTAGATGTGTTGAGAGAAACGCCGTAGTATACTAAGGAGATGGACGTCCTGTGATGAAAGGTGTCAGTTACCACATTATTACATATATATGAATCAAGAATACATTAGAATCAAGGATTTGATTAACATATCCGCTGAAAATGTGCTTCCTCGGTACTGAAAGGTTTATAAGGACGTATCATCGATGAATTCTGGGTCATATAATTAACATGGGAATGGAACAGTAACAAAATGAACAAAAAATGATAATAAGCTACATCATCGTTATCTTCTGCTCCTCCTCATTATCATCATCATAAAAAATGGATTGTGATAACCAGCACCAGCGTAGAATGGACTATCATCAGTATTGAAAGTGAAAGGGAGTAAACCTAAAAGACTACATCGTTAAGATTAAAAGCGAACGGAAATGAATTATAACACTCTTCATTATCAAGTATAATAATAACATCAAAATGGAAATGTGAAATAATTATGGCATATCAGCATTGAAGAGAAAGGATAAGATTTCCGAACTCATGTCTCATAATAGTATCATATTTCTAATGCACTGATTTCTGTAAAAATATGTACATAAGATGAATATTATAATTATGTCCGAGTTGTCTTTTTTTTATAATCCCCGTTTATGCAGTGTGTGCATGTAATCCGTGCTCGTCAATTGATTGTACTCACCAATGGCAGAAGATATTGACACACCGTTTTCTTAGAATCGGAGTTCGAATAAGATCAAGAAAGTTCAAATGCTTTTTCTTGGTTTCCATCCTTTCGGCTTCCAATCTCGAATTGCGTTCTTCCTCATAATACTGACGCAATTTTGGTAGCTGAAAGTTGTATAAAAATCGATTAGCTTTCGGAAGATACTTAAATATTTCCTGCAGATAAATAATTTGTGGCGGAAAGTAATTTTCAGTTTGAGTTTGGGTTATTGACTTCCAATGTGTTTTTTTTTCTCTTCTAAAAAAAGTGAACACGACGTTCTAAACCTACACCTGAATCACATCAAATGTATTTAGTACGCCCACAAATTACCAGGACGAAAGGCAATGATATTGTCTCCATTCGAGTTTCCGCATAGTTATTCTGTGTACACCACGACCCGTGATTAGCGTGGTTAAAGTTATGTTAAAAAGTATCACAAATAAATGTGAGTGTACGTGATTAGAGGTCACAACACAACTGTGCGAAAACTCGGAAAATATGGCAGACGATTTTTAAAGTGTGGTAATCACTGACGCATACATGTTTAAAGAGAACAATGTTATTGCCAAATTATATAGAAGTTTTTTTTTTAAACTGATAAACGCTAATACACATTCTGTTTATTGTAACTAATTTAAAATATATCATGAAATAATTTTGAATTGGTTTTAAATTGTTTTTTTCCAGGAGGATATGATGTGGTCAAATGTATCGAGTATCAAAGGCCGCAGGAGACAATGAATACTCAAATCCCCCTTGCATGTGAAATGTAACTACAGATTACAAAGATCGATAAAACAAGTTGCGGAGTTTTTAGCACATGTATTCGTCAGTTTACAGTACCGGAATATTAAAAACGTTATCATATTAACGTTACAAGATGATAAAAGTTAGCACGTTACCGTACAAGATGACATTTAGCAAGTCTGGTGGGATGGTGAGAAGACACCACACCCTCATGATATAATGTCGACTATTTCCCGTGCAAACCGGAAATAGCAAATTAAAACTGTTTCGGAATAATTTTTAATTCATAAAAAATACGAAAAGAAAATAATTGCAATTACGGTAATATCATCGTTTTTTGTTGTTGTTTTTTTGCTTATGTTAAGAATATAAACCGTATGAAACGGTTCCAACTCTATCTCGCCCAACAGTTTTAATAACGCATTGGTGGTTTGCACGAAAGATAGTTCACAGTGTAATCGTCGAAGTACCAGTGGACTTATGTCAGCTTTGTTGACTCTCGCAGCCTTTAGAATAATCACTTCAGCCTCCTTGATATCGCCCCGAGACATGAGCCATCGCGGAGATTCTGGTATGCACCTTAAGCGGTAAGTAATGAATTTAAAAATAAACACAATCGAGATGTTGGTGAGTTGATAAAATGTTAACTAATAAAACATGAAAATACTATATCTTATATATGTATATGACAAAAAGGTAAACATATTTAATCTACAAATAAGGATTGAATGAAAGATTGGATTTTATCAATTTATGCATTTCAGGAATGAAGTTGGTCAAGTTATGTATGCCAAGTCTGATTTAATTGTGATGATATTTCAGAGTTACTTTTATTATAATCTTCGATATTCAAATTACGTATTCCTGTTCTATGGTGCGAGAACATACGACTCGGGCTATACTATTCTGACTAGCTAAAAATAAAGTTTTTTTCAACAATGGCATTTCAAGTTTTAGCTATTGAAATAGAGCTTATATATAAATATTTTTCAGTATAAGAGGCACGACATAGAAGCTACGACATTTCAAACTTACGTCTCCCGAATACCATCATATTGCTGGCTTAAATGTTGGGATTAAGTTTTGCAAATTTATTCACGGTTGAATGACGACTTGAAGAAGAAAAATTAATTCAATTTCAAAATCTAATTAATGCTACAAGAAAACCACAAAGTCATTGCTCGAGCATCCTCTCTTCTCCTTAGTTACTCTTTGTTATTCATTTGACGTAACCATGGCCACTATGAGATGCACAGAAAACTAAAAAATCAATAGAACTGGCAATTTTCTAATCCGAGTGACTGACAAAGAGAAATCTCATGTACTGCATGATACATTGGGGGGGGGGAATAATATTTGTATCTCGATGTTCTTAAATTATAATTTTGTTTGGCATCTCATTCATTCACCACGGTAGTCAGAGTTGTTGTTGTGAATGGCGTTTGTGTCTCGATTCACATTAACACCAATAGACGTTATTGCCAATGGCCACCGGGATATCGTTGGACGCAAACCACGAGACTTGTTTTTGTCCTTAAAATAGTATTCTATTTATATCCCATCCATCACGGCATCTAATGTTTCTCGTAAAACCATGTAACCATGCTTTTTGGAACAGTGAACGCGGTGATCGGAGAAACTGAAACACTATTTGAGGGTCAAAGATCTCGGCGGCCCATTAGCGAATAAGGTCCATTGTCGCATGAATTTGCATCAGAGGATTACAGTCTATATTCTTTCAAATCATCAGCTTCATGTCATATACATGATATTACTTATTCACTCATTAAAATATTAAGCAATTTCGGTTATGTTAGTCAATAGCACGAGGCTTTTTAAGATAAAGATAAGATAGATCATGCCACCGATTCTCGTTGTACTAGTGTAAAATCACCAGTCATTGATTTTTCTATAAGAATCGGACGACATGTATGCCGAAATGCATTATGGAACATATGCCACAAACACATGAATATATAGTTATCAAGAAAAAACAAAGATAAAACCTTATATTATAATCACATTTCATATACAATCACATTTCAACTTAAAAAATGTAAGCCCGAATACGTGTAGTCTCGGTTTCCAAAAATGTTTTTGCGTCACCTAGTTGAAAGATTTAGAGAGTGTCATGGTGGATATTACTGGTTATTAATTGTTTTCCTTGTGTATCATCAAAGTAAATATATGTACGTACAAGGTGGGCAGCCAACGGCACAAGCGAGCGTCAAGATGGGTTAAATATAGAGCAGGCCGGCAATAATAAGTCGGTTAGATTGCATGCGACATTGCGCTGTGTTTTTGAAAACCGAGACTAAGATAATTGGAAAATAACGAGTCTGCTGGTAAACCCGCAAATACGATAGACATACCAATACCATTGAACCGATACATTATTCATACAAATGCGTCCTGTGTTATTTAAATCGGTAATTTGATTCTTTCTCCGAGATCAACAGCAGGACTCGCTATGGTGACTCTCCCCTTTACGCTGCAGTAGCTTCATTCTTGCCAAGGAGTGTGACAAATATTCAATAACTACCCAGATTTTTCCAGATTTGGTGCGTGCGTCAAAAGAAGTGGACCGACCCCGTCTCCTCAAGTGGGAGACTTGTAAACAAACAGCCTGTCGGCTGATATAGCTACGCTGCTTCAGATGCATAATGAGGGAGAAACATCGGGCTTGTAATTTTCAAGATAACAAAAATATTCACTAAAATGAGAAAACTGAACTTATTAACACTAAATAAATTACTGTTACTGTGATAGAGGAATGAACCAAACCATTCTGACAATGGTCTATCCACCTACACATTCAATGTCAAAATAATCAAGCTGGATCGATTTGATCATTGTTAATTATCCATTTCTGTCAAAGAACAAAAATAATTGAAGAAAATCATGATTATATAAGTGTGTTTTTTTCCTTTTAAGGTTCCCGAGTAAACTTTTGTGTTGAAAGTACGGAGACAGTCCACCTCTAGACTGCTAAGTAGGTGAATCTAATATAATGTCTTTGGCGAGCACCGTGACGACGGTTAGTGAGCCGAAAAAATCCGAATTTACAATCAATCATTCATCATGTTTTATTCAAACAACGTGTATCGAAAAGGTCTCAGTGGTTTGTGCTCGTATGACCTAAAAGTGATGAAATCATTTCTACATATAGAACGACTCAAAGACCATATAGCGTGACCCATACCATGCTACGATAACTATAACGTCTGATACACTGGGATGTGTTGCGTGGTCAGATGTCTGAGCAAACAATTCTCCTACATTATCATTGATATGATATCGTTGGATGTATCGATCCTTTTCATAAGTCGGGTGTCCTCACAATTTCCTGTGGGAGAGGCCTTTCAGGGGAACTCAAAAAGGGGCTTCTAGGTGAAGCCATGTTTTGTTGGACGTACATGCATAGAAAACCGTTTTCCCGCGGGTAGGGAATACAATTCCGCGTTTCTTTTTATTATAGCCAATAAATCTGTTCAATTGTGAAGTTCTCAGTTTAATAAAGTAGTTTCCCAGTCTCTTCAGAAATATTGAAAATTACTTAGAAGGTATAATATCGCCTAGAAACCTTTTTCTAAGTCCACATGAAAGGCCTCTCTCACAGAAAACTGTGAGGGCTCACGACCTAAGAAAAGGGCCTATTACAGTAAATTCTCATTTAGAAAAGAGGTATCTTCGTAGCATGGTCACGAGAATTACGAGTTGTTTTATTTGGAGACAGCACAAGTTTCAGTTGTTTTCATTGGAGTTGTTTGATCGACATTCTCCTGTCACAATCCGACCATATTTAACTTCCTTGGCATAAGAGAAACTATTGCAGCTCAAATGGGATGTCTGATGGAAGGCCATTCCGCGGAAAAGAGTATGATAAATATTTTCTTACCAAAAGTACGCTAACATAAATACTTGAGGAATACATAGTACCAGAGATAACTGCCTCCAATCTCGAATAAGATAAGCCAGGCCCGCCAGTGCCATATAGGCGAAAGAATAGAACACCACTACGCTGTTGCAAACAAATGCTCTGCATGAAGGTCCAATCCATTCCAAGACTGATATGAAATAAACATAGGATCGGCATTATTAAAAAACAACAACAAACGTATTACGTGATGGGTCGCCAGAACCTATAAAACACAAGTTCACATTTTTAGCGATAAAAAACAATAATTCCTACCGTAGCTATACGTTATAATATATATCCCAACGAAAGTTCCGCCAAGTAGGAGCTGGCTGACGAGAAACAGAGGAAAAGACGGCGCAAATGCCGAACACAATCCGAACAGTATGTTGCATGGCAGTGCAATAAATATGCACAGTCTTCTTCCATATCTGAAATAGAACAGTAAATATAAAAAAGAAAGAAAGTGTTGTCATTAGTAACGTATCCTCCAGAACAACCACGGTCGAAATGTTACAACTATTCAGCTACAAAACTTGAACGTATTCACAACGTGGTCGACGAATGACAAACAGCGCCCCCTACGTCACGTTTTGGGAATTTTTTTTAGAACGGCGGTATCAGAATAGAACGCGGTATATTTGTAGAATAGCAGCTTCGTTTTTCATCATAGTGAAGATGAATATATAAAGAGTAACTGTCAAAGGCGCGCCGCGGGATAAAATGAATATTATGCTTTTAACAGCAAAATTACGATATGTTCAACTCTGGCTTTAATAAATTCATGTGAACAACCATATTTATTAATAACACATGATACATGAAGGTACATTTATATATGTAAAAGATATAATACCGTGTTTACCAAATTAAAAAAAAAAACGCACAGAAGGTAAAATTATTAAGTTACATATTTACCTTGCTAGGCCACGTGAGCAAACGTGGCAATAAATAGAATATCAACCCACCTATCTGATAGCGGTGATACCACTAACGTGCCTGCCAGTACACCGATGTAAAGCATAGATGTGGCGACCTCTCGTAACCAGGCTCTGTCACAAACGAGCTCCCACTGTTAGCGATCGTGAAAAACAAAAGACAAAATCAACGCGTTATTACATAATACAGGTTGACACAATTCAAACGGACCCCGTAATCATACAATCACTGTGAGGGAACACATGAAAGGAAAATTAGCGATTCACGTGGACAATTTTTTTTTTTTTTTAGAATCCTACAAAGAAACTGACAGGTAACTAACTACAAGGCACGCTGTGTGTCAATTTGTACTACTCTTCGCGGAAAGCAAATCTAATTAGTAATATGCTCACTCGTTAAAAGCTTCGTGTTTAGTGACATTAGATGCTTACAGGCGTCTTCGCTGGTATGATGGGTATGTTACGGCACAGCGGTATTAGATCATTTAACAAGTATTTTGATTACATACATAAATACCGGTAACATATTTTCCAATGAGCGGGCCTACAGGGTGGTTCCTACAATACCATCTGTCTAGGTCGCAAGAAAACGCTC